AATAAAATTGGACAAGTTACATAGGTCACAATTTCAACAACCAGGATAACTCAAACACTGTAAATAAAATTGGACAAGTTACATAGGTCACAATTTCAACAACCAAGACAACTCAAACACTATAAATAAAATTGGACAAGTTACATAGGTCACAATTTCAACAACCAGGATAACTCAAACACTGTAAATAAAATTGGACAAGTGACATAGGTCACAATTTCAACAACCAAGACAACTCAAACACTGTAAATTTCAACAACCGTATTCAGTGGGTGTAAGGAAAAGTGAAGATAATTGCTGAAATGTTTTTGTTTATTTGTGATTAAACATGAAACAACATAATGGTTTTAGGTACAAGCGATGGACACAGCACAGATAGCCTATTATGTAGCCCTGCACTATACTACTACTACTACTGGGCATACTATGACTTTTATATTTATATTGGCGTAGCACTTGCTTATTGGGTGGATGGCAGTCAGTTACATTAACAACACGTGACTAGACTTTGCTGCAGTTCATTTACACACGGTAGAGGGCGATACCTTCCGACAGTATTTGTCTTTTAAACTCTTTCACTTACCAATTCTGTAAAAAAAACTTATTGTTACATAGCTTAAAATATCTCATTATACAGTAATAGTAGTTTAATACTTGCTATCTGCAAACACGTGTTTTTATGTACTAGAGTAAGGTTATTGCCGGTGAGATAAACACCACTCAGACTTTGAATTCGAAATTGAATACATTAGTTTTGTTATCGCCATTCTGAATACTGCAACAAAGAGCTTCAGTATATCAGAAGTTCTAATCCTATAATAAAAAGTTGGAATTTTAACCGTGTCCAGTAAACAAACCTAGTAAGATACGCACATAAACATGAACAGACATAATAATCTGACCATAATGCAAGTGGTAACAACTACATAAACTTACGAAAGTATACAAACAACTCAGCCAGGAACCCCGGGCTGAGGTTGATCTCGGTATCCACGGGCAAAACAGGGGTCTGGATCCAGTCGTTATTCCTGTAACCTACAAAAACAAACAATAATTATGTAATACTGTTGAATACGGCTACAACAATCATTTTAATAAAAACAATGTTTTTCCGACAAATTATTGTTGAAAAAATTGACTCAAACCACACTGTTTTTAGTGCACCAAGATCGAGATTAATTAACAAAACAAATTCAATTCCGAAACTATGTTGATAGACTTTGTTTAAAATCAAAAGTATCATAGCAACGTGAGCACTTTCCAGCCATATAAGTCACCACTAAGATATATTCTTAGCATGTCAATGTTACAACGTCTTTGATAACCATGCCTACACCGCAGCTTCTCTTAGCAACACGTCAGATTCTCATAGCACGGGATTATAAATATGTAACAAACCTAATTACAATTTAAAATACTAAATAATAGTTTCAGCTTCTTAGTTTACTCACAGAAAAATACATGGTATTGCAAAATATAACAACAGTAACTTTTTTTACATTGTTCGGAATTTCTCGCGAAGCTACACGAGGGCTATCTACGCTAACCATCCCTAATTTAGCAGTGAAAGACTAAAAGTAAAACAGCTAGTCATCACCACCCACCACCAATCCTTGGGCTACTATTCGAAATTTCAACATACATCGTTTCGTCCTAAAATCGAAGTTTCAGCATACATCGTTTCGTCCTAAAATCGAAGTTTCAGCATACACCGTTTCGTCCTAAAATCTAAGTTTCAACATACACCGTTTCGTCCTAAAATCGAAGTTTCAACATACATCGTTTCGTCCTAAAATCGAAGTTTCAACATACATCGTTTCGTCCTAAAATCGAAGTTTCAACATACATCGTTCCAGTCCTATTCCTTCATGTCATTCCGCTTCTCTTATACATATTGTGACACGAAAAATAAAATATCCGAAAAATCAAACATTTTTATGAAGATAAACTTCATACGAAATTATATTACCACACGCTAAACAACAAAACAATGAGCTGAGAACCGTAGTTTTAGGCCTAAGCAACACCATTTTGAGATAATTGTTTAGGTCGGAGAAGGTGAAAACTGACATTGTTTCAAGACAAATAAAACCGAGTCAACAAATATATATTGAAGATAAAATAAGTATATGTTAACTGAACATATTGATTTAGTATCTAATATTTGTTCCATTGGAATCAGATATTTATTTCTTAATTCTGTATAATTTTGCATTTAAACAATGCTAGTTCAGGTGGTTTGACTATAGATGGTGTCAACTAGTCGAACTTTGTGTGTCTTTAGGCGTAGTTGCCCGGGTGTTGCCTCGTAGTTATCGTACTGGACTGTAAATCTGAGAGTCCATATATCACGTTCCATTGCCGCAAAAAAAGCAGCTGTGAGTGCGTTATAAGAGAGATGGTCAAATCCTATTATTCCATTAGAGTATCCCAATAGAGGGTGCTTAGTCTAGCCGCTTTCCCTCTAGTGTGTCATTTCAGAATTATTGAAGATAGTCCTCTGTAACTTTATGTGAATAACGAACAGATACCGAAAGTCAAGGCAAGTCTTCAAAATCCCATAACAACATTAGAAGTGCAATTCAAAACTTAAGTAAGGTGAAGTAGTACACATTAGGTTCACTTCTGGGTGTATCTCTTCACCACCAACACCCCTCGCTTCTCTTTGTCTGGTACAAATCCAGAACAAAAAACAACAGTAAAATAAACTGGTACACATTAGGCTCACCTCTGGGTGTATCTATTCACAACCACCATCCCTCGCTGACCTCTGTATTGTACAAATCCAAATAAGACAGTAAAATAGACTGGTACACATTGGGCTCACCTCTGGGTGTATCTCTTCACCACCACCACCACCCCTCTGTCTGTTACAAATCCAGATGAATCAGAACCTCACCAAACACCACCTTAAGAGTTATCAGACATTCGCTTGCTCAAATATCTGATCACTGTTTCTTTGAACCACATTTCTATTAACTGACATAGATTATAACAATACATCTCAGTACAAAAACAAACAAACACAGAATCTCTTATCTTACTTAAACTGCCATATAGCCGTCCTCCACAGAAATAAAACACGGCAGTTTTATCACAAAATCAAATGATACTGTAAAATTACGTAGAATATATCGAAGTTTCTACAGTATAAGAACAGTGCGTGGAAAATATATTTAGCTTCCAAATTGAACGCTTTTTTTTTTAGTACGACCACGATTCGTAGGCGCTTGTGTTCTTTTTTTTTACATTATAAAACAGTGTTCTAAGGATGTAAATAATGTGTACCTATCTCAACTAAATACGGTGATGCGTAATCCATAAACAAAGGCCTCATTGATAGGTTTTGTTTGTTTGTTTTGAATTTCGCGCAAAGCTACACGAGGGCTATCTGCGCTAGCCGTCCCTAATTTTGCAGTGTAAGACTAGAGGGAAGACAGCTAGTCATC